GGTCTTATTTCTCTTTGTTCAGTACATAGGATCTATTCCAGAGACAAGGGAAGGGCTGGACAATACAGAACGCAGTTCAGTAGATGAGTGAGAAAGAGCCAGGGTCTACTGTTTGCTAAAATTGTGCAAGGTCCCAATATTTGACAGAAACAAGGCTTCTGTTAGCTAGATCCCAGAGACAGATCTGCGGGGGGCTTTTCAAATTTATGTGTCTTGACTCTTCATTTTATGGACCCTTTGTGAGGCTCTAAATCTAATTTTGTAATTTCTTTGTATTTGTTAAAGTAACTCCCCCATATTTGTCGTAGAAATAAACATCTTGGACCCACCCCTCCAGGGCGATTAGCAAGAGGAATACAGCACAGCTTATTTTCAGAGAGAAAGTCAGTGTTATCTCAAGACAGTGCTCAAGTGAGATTTCTCTGCGCTGGAGACACAGGATCCAGTACTCTGCCTAGGATTGGGCTTCCCCGTCACTCCGAGCAGCCTTGCTTGCAGGAAACCACCCGTTTCCTTAGGAGCTTTGTGCAGGACGCTCACATCACCCTCGCTCCCTTGGCCACTCTTTTCCCCCTGCACCAGCTGAGAGGTTTGACCCTTCTGAACTGCGAAGATGCAACCAGTGCTGACCGACAGGAGCAGCATGTTTGTGGGCTACGACTTCACAACGTTCGATCGTATGCTAATTATAAAAAAGGCTAGAAATAGAGCTTATGAGAGTAGCTCAGCCTTTCTTTCTAAACAGCTGCTTTTCAGTTCCATTCCAGAGCTAACAGAATCAAAACTCAAGGTACAAATGTGAGCCTATTTATTTATTTTTAGAAAAAAGAGATAAACTGTATTATGTACATGTACACACTCCCAAGATGACTATAAAATGTATGTACTGCGAGCGTGTCCTAATAATTTTTTTTTAAAGTGAGGCATGTATATAATTTAAATTTTTCTATTAACCATGTGAAATTCATTTTAACCATGTATTTCATTTAATCCCTTTATGTATAATACTATATCAAAAATAGTATGATTTGGATATGTAATCTGTATGCAATAACCTATTAATTAGGTGCCCTGCAATTACTAGGTTTTTTGGTACTAAGTATGTGTGTGTTTTATCACCTAGGACATCCCAGTTCGGATCAGTCATACCTTAGGAGCAGTGTAGCCACATGCAGCCGATATGTTAGACAAAGAAGTTCTAGATCCCCTACTTAGCACTGGCATGGGCTCTGGCAAGCAATTTAACCACTTGGACTCTCCTCGTATCCATGTGAAATGGAGTTATAGAAAAAAAAATCTGTATCACAGGGCTCAAGGTGGGACTAAATCAGACAGCAGAGAACAGTGCCACTTTGTTTCTTTTGCGTTTTTGCTGGTGGACTTAGCCCTAGCTTAAACTGAACATTCCCCTTCTGTTTTAAGCAAGTTTACGTCTCTTCCTGCAAACAAAAGGTTATAATTATGGAATGTTCACAGGAGTTACTGGTGGCTTGATCAACTTGGAAGATAGAATCTGGAGACTTTACACATCTAATATGAAGATAGAGAAGAGTAGATCGAGGTCACTGGCTGGAAACCAAAAGCTTGCTGCAGCAGGGTTGCCAAGAAACCAAAACTAGAACAGGCTGGGAAATACTGTGGAGACACCACTGACTGCTCGCGGAATAGAGACTGGACGCTAAGGTGAGGGCTTTTCACACCACGTCTCATTCACTGAGCGACAGGAGGGGCACAAAAACGAACAGGCACCGCTCTGCAAAGCCAGCGTTCCCACCTTCACCGAAAGGAAGGGGAAAGCTGGGGGAAAGCTTGGTGGCATCCGTGTGCTTAGCATGCATGAGGCCCTACGTTCAACCCAGCACTAAGCATAACAGCCATGAAAAGAGATAAAGACATGGAGTGACTGAAACTCTCCCAAAGTTGACAAAGCTGCTAGGTGGCCCTTTCTGCTCTTTTCTAGGCTCTCCTCACATTTGCATGCATTGGTGAAGCCCCACGTGAGCTGGGGTGATGGGCCTCATACTACCTGCTCAATGTGGAGTGGGGACTAAGCTCACAGCGGTGCACCCCCTCTCTATGAGGTGTGTGCAAAAGATCAGAGACAGACAGGACTGGAGACAAGAAAACAGTTTTCCATTCCTCTTTAACAGTCAAATTCATGGTTTGTGTCCAGGTGATGTTCAGACGACCCAACAGATACAAACTCGTTCTTTCAAATCCAGATTGAGTTACAATTACTTTTCTTTTTCTTGGGTTCTACTTATTGAGATACTGGCAACTCCCTTGAGATGTCTGGTCTGGTAGGTAATAGCCAAGGCAGTCTGAGAGAACGGCATGTGTGTATGTGTGTGTCTGTGCATGTGTGTGTCTGTGTGAGCATGCGTGTCTGTGTGTGTGTGTGTGTGTGTGTGTGTGTGTGTGTGTGTACAGTGGTGCTGGTGAAACCCAGAATAGCTTGCTCTGAAACAAGCAGCCCCAAAGAGCATGTGGCTATTGTTATATCTGGCTGGATCCTCTACTCTCTAAGTTCTGGGGCTACAGGGGATACTGTCTAGACCAGTTCTTTTGGCCCTGGGGTTGGCAGAACACAGAACCAGAAAGCCAAATCGTTGTGCAAATATCTCCCTGCATTTTTTCTGGTAAATGGTCAAGCTGGATGGAAACTAAATCTCAAACAATCACCAAATAGCAATAAGCAAGGGAAGAAATAGATTGCCTGGGTGTTTTTCCAGTCCTTGACAGGGAAGTCCTGGTTCTTGACCCAGTGTAACACTACGGGACGAGATCCTTAGAAAGCACAAGGCTGAGTATGGCTCTCTCCCTCCTTCCAGCTGGGGAACATTCTTACTGTGTCACTGGCCTTTCCTAGACTCAAAGATGGCACTGGGGCAGGACACACACGGCAACTCAGGATTGAAATAATTTATTTACCACTAGAGCACCACAAGAACAGACATACATCGTGTTAAAATACAGCATAATTGGTCGTCAAAGTACAAAACAGCTATTCTTACATTCCAATTTTTTAACCATGCCAACCACAAAATTGTACTGCTGCTTAACACATCTACACCACTGCCCCACTGGCCTACTAACTCCTCCCTTCCCGCCCCCTGCCCTCCCCCCAGCAACACTTATTTATGGGAAACAAAGACCTTGTAGAACCCCCCAATTAAAAACAAAAAGATTCAGGAGATCTTAAAATAGAGCATTTAAAATATTATCAGTGCATTCATAAGGAAAGACAAAAATAATACAAAACAAAATGTCGTTTTTATATGAAAGGAAAATTTTACCTGCAGAAATGAAAGTGATTTACACAGAATTTTTTCTTTTCTTTTTTTTTTCTTTTTGTACCGGGAATCAAACTTAGGACCTTACGCTAGCCAGGCAGGCGGTTGTGCCGCTGATCTATGTCTCCGGCCCTTACCCAGAATTAACAGAAGAGGGGAAGAGGAAAAACTCAACACACACTCAGATCTGGGATCAGGTTATCCCCAACATAAGAGCTGTTCACTATTGTGGCATCCTCCCTAGAGCTCGCTTTTCCAGTTTTCAAACCCGCAAATCAATTCTTCATTTTAACCATGTCAGGATGTTCCAATAAGGAAGTACACCATTCCTGTCTCGTTCTTCTACCCTTAGGTGAAACTGTAACTATCCATTGATTTGTCTACGAATTTTTATCTGAAAGCCAAATAAATGACAAATGCATCCTACAAACCTAGACATGAGGTTCCTCCTCTGAAATGATGCAACAAATCATTTGTGTGAGCCAAGTAAACTCTAGCCCCAGTTATAGATAACTCTCACTCAGGAAAGAATATTTTGATCATGGGAGAATTTGGCTTGTGCCTTTTTTAACCTTCCAAGAACATCTATCAAAAAACCATAATTTTGCCTGGCGTGGTGGTGCACACCTGTAATCCCAGCGCTCAGGAGGCTGAGGCAAGAGGATCGCTGCAAGTTCAAGGCCAGCCTGGGCTACGAAGTGAGTTCAAGGCCAGCCTGAACTGCATAGTGAAACCCTGTCTCAAAACAGATTAAAAAAAAAAAAAAAATTCCTTAACTTCAGTGAAATAAGTGAAATGACTAACGGTGACCTGGATTTTTTCATCCTTTACAAAAAGTAACTAAGAGGTGCATCCTTTCATTTCCCCTGAACACTAAATAATTGATTATAGGAAAAGATATTTCCTGAACTGATTGCTTTTTAGTAACATTAAAATTCTATGAAAATACTAACTAAACCAGCTTAGCTCAGTCACCAGGATTCTGAGTTCAGATCCTTAGATTCTTGTGAAAATTAAAACACTTCTGATTATCTATGTTTCCATAACATTTCCCATTTTCCTAACATCTGAGTTTGATTCAATCTAAATTGAATCTAAATTTGATTCAATTAGTAACAATGACCAAAACATGAAGAAAGATCACTAAATTCCAATCTATTTGTTTTGTAAAAGAAAAAAAAAAAAGACAAAGAAACCCAGGTAGCTTATGTCACAGAAGTGGACAATACACAAAGCACAAGAGAGCAAATGTTATTAAAAATATCTTTGTAGTACAAGGCAAAATCTAGGGGCTTTATTCAAAATACTGGCCAGCTAACAGAAACACAACTAATCATGAGTGATCATTAAAAAGAGTTCAAATTTAAGTCCAATCTAAATCATAGTTGACATTATTACAGAATATAAAAATATGGTAAGAATTTACACATTACATGTGAAGTAGTTAATGTTTTGACTTAATAGTTTGCAAAAGAGATCTGCAGATGTGTTTTCCATTATGCTGGCTTCTATACCCATCTATTTTAATAATACAGGTAGGGTTACATACACCAAAACAAAGGAAAAACCTATAGCATAGGTTTACAGCAAGACTTTAAGGTCCGAAGTTTGACCAATATGTGTCAAAACATTTTGACATTTCACTAGTTTGCTAAACTGACAAAGATCCATATACAATTAAAAGGAAAAAAAAATCTTACAGACTTATTCTGGCTGAAAATTCTTTTATTAACAGGCTTTTTCGTGTTTGAACCCTACACACACGTTCCTCGGGCAATCGTACATGGCATGTGCTTTCAGGTTTTTTTCTTAAGGCAGGCTTGCTCGGTCGTATAACAACCCATGCATTTTTGTTTTCCTTCTTTCTTTCTTTCATTTTTTTTTTTTTTAATCCCATTAATGACCTCTTTTTCTCTGGCTCGTTTGAGTTCAAGTTTCCTTAAGCCATTCTTGAGTTTCTGGCAAAGGATTTGGTCTCCACTTTATACACCTGTTTTATTTTCCAAGGGCAATGAAACGTTCATTATATAATAACACACAATAAATAACTCGCCGGCAAACCTAGGAGGGTGGACCGGGTGCCTAGGGCAGAGCGAGACAGCAAGCGTGGCACAGGAGCGGCGGGACGCGGCAACACCGAGGCACGGGATTCTCCTGGTTTTCATTTTTTTCTTTCACATAATTAACACTAACAAATTCTTCCAGTGTTTTTTTTTTTCCTTTTTCAAAAAAAAAAAAAAAAAATTTTGCTTCTCGTCTCTCTCACTTACAAAGGACAGGAAATGTAGACTAAGGCCTTCTACTCTCTATCTTTTTGTTTCAGATGCCACTTCTAACGCACAGAACACACACTTCCCAAGTGTTTGAACTAGTACCGCTTTTCTCAGAAAGGTTAACACTGATGAACCAAGGCTCTCTTATGTTTTCTTGTTACGCGCATCCTCGCAGTCGTTTTTGCGATGCTCGCCTGGCCGCTGCTCCAAGAACCTTAGCTGCATTTGCAAGACTTGACAATCATGTTAGAGAGCTGCTCAATCTTGGGCGTTTTTCCAACGTAGTAGAGGATGGTGAGCGGCTCCAAGTCCTGAGACACACAGCACGGGGACGCAGAGGCCTCCGGGTTTATGGTATTATACAAGCTGAGGACCTGGGGACAGGGAGAGGACAGGCAGCATTGGGAGAGGAGGAGCAAAAGAAAACCGGAACAATTAGGTTTAAAGGAGCCACTTTGCATTGTTACCAGCCAGAGCACTCGGTATGCAAGGCCAGGTAGTTTTGGCTGGTTATCATTTTTTCTGAGCCCTAAGTTATAGTCAGAATGCGACTGGTATGTGTCCACAGCCATCACCAGATTCATCTTCCCCCACCAAATGCTTTTTCTGTACATCATAAACAAACGACTTTATAAAACTCAAATTGGACAACACTGTTCCTTCAGTAGATTTTCCTCCCTTTTCCAGGAAGTTGGCTCTGGCCTCTACTTTGAGGCCCACGCTTCCCGAGCTTTCAGTATTTGGTCTTGTTTCTACCCTGCTCTGTAACTGAAGTTGTCCCGTGAGCGTACATATCCAATTCCTAAGTGGATGAAGAGCTCACGGCCAGGACTCTGTGGCCTTTGTACCCTGCAGCCCTACGAAGTCTTCCCTGGACAAAATCAGATCCATGTGTTTGGTGAAAAAACGGACGCATGGGTAACTAGAACAATAAAATGCTGTCCTCTGGTTCTCACTGGAACTTGAACCTGTGGAGTAGGTTCCTTACCCTGTCTGCTATGTGAACATGTTTACGTTAGGTGTCTTCTCAGGCATATTTAATGTTACCTAAATTTCCACTTAAAAAAGAAGTCTTTTCATTTACGACTGCTTCATAACAATGGTGATGCTCAGAATGATGTGGAAAGCAGTCTGCATCCTTAATTATTCACTTTCATACATCTTGCTGAAAGTGAAGATCATGATCCACATTCCCTTAACCTTCCCTGGGGTAAACAGGACTGGCTGAGTTGGAGGAGCAGGGAAAGAGTCTAGAACAGAATGTAGGTAGCCCCCTCTCTTCATTCTGGTTTGGTATCAAAGGGGTGTGCAGCTTTCACTAATGCAAGCATGTAGGTTCCCCGCAGTGACACACAGACATTTCCAAGGATGCCATTAATGTGTTACTCAAACAGCAAGTGACCTTTTCCTCGAGATTCACGGCAATTTTTTCAGCCTAAGACAGAAGATCCGTTCAGCACAGCAACACTGACTACTTTATTAAGCTACCCCTGGCTTCTTGGGTAACTGTCCAAACCACATATTTGTGACCATGACAGTTATTCTTCCTCTCTCCTTGAAAAACAGGCATGGTCTCAGCCTTCACACACTCCTTCTGTGTATCGGGGAGGAGAATTATGTTTCTACTTGGCAGCGGGGCCTTGCCCACATTACGGCTACTGCGGCCGCAGCCCGGATGGAACAGCCTGGCCAGAGAGTGCAGACAAAGGGACAGGCGCGAGCAAGCCTCCCTCACGTGGCCAAGCACGTGGACCCCAGGGTGCCGAGGCCTGGGGGTGGGGAAGGGGAGCCATATTTGTCAATCTGAGCTCCAGCCTATGTGTGCATTTATAAATAAATAGACTTCAGATTCCACTCCCACATAATTTTTCATAGGCAAGAAACAGGCATTTTTATAACATAGATTGTCTCGGATAATTGATAACCTCCAAGCTCCTGAACGTAACTGAAAGCATTATGTGGTCTTTTTGGCAGGAGACTCATTTTCCTACCCTGCCGTGAAGGCAATCTTTCCAAGGCTTCTTTAATAGGGAGATTTACAGAGGAATAAGGAGCAGAGGAGAAAGCCTCCCCATGTGGCCACATTTTAGGAATTAAACTCTGTGGGACAGAGCGAACGGAGGCCCAGTTATGCAACAAGGAGGGCTGCGTTCCAAGCCCTGGTCTGTCCCTAACCTTCTGTTGCCCATGGGCGAGTCATCTAGGCCTGGTTTCTTTAGAAAAATGAAAGGTTTGGACAGAGAACTTACAGGGTCCTTCCCATCTCTAAAATCCTGCATCAGGAGACACCAGGCAGGAGGATATAGACAAATGTGAGACAAAGGCCTTGCTAACGTGTGCCAGAAACCCATGGCCTCCAGTCCTGGACCTTCCATCCAAATCATGGTCCTCAGGGAAGCAGCTGGATAAAATACTCATGCTTTTGGTTACTTTGGGTAATAGTCAGAAAGACTTAGAGGTGCTAATTTTCAAATGGTTTTCACATATTCCTATCTTCCTATCTCACAACTTTGAGTCTGGCATTGTTTTAAAAATCACCGTCAATATAGACATTCTTTTCTACTGATAAAAACTTGAGATTCAGAGAGAGGTTAAATGACACCCTAATTGTCATATGCTAGTAAACCACCATGCTAAGGCATTATTTGGAGTCTCCACTGTTCTTTCCAACCGACAGCCTGTGGTGGAGGTGACACTGGATTCTTTTCTTAGACAGAGATCCAAGTCCCTTTACACCTTCTTTATACATGACACTATGTAATATGTGGATTCGAGCTGCCTTTTCCCGCTACCAATCTATGCTTATACTCGTGAAGCATATAAAACCAAGAACACATTAATGAAGCTTCCTTCAAGTTGCTTATAATCTACTGTTTCAAACAGATCAAGGGTCTTGTTGATTTTATCTACTGCCTATGTTTCTCTTCCTCATCCAAACAGATCCACCCAGCACCCATGCACGTGTGATGGCGAAAGGCCACCAGGTCCGCTACCATTCACTTAGAAACGTGTCCTGGAGTCAGCACAGCTGGTCACTGGGAACCCAGGAGCCAAGTTACTAAATACTTACCCTGCTGTGCTGAGTGTCTGAGCTCCACAGATATGGGCAGGCCCCGGCACAGAAGTTGGCATTGTACCCTTTAGGTTCATGAATCCATTTCCACCCAAGATCCCTCTTGAAATCAATGTAAAGTGGACGCAGGCAGCAATTATCCTGCACATTTCTGTGGAAAGAAAGAGCAGTGCAGATTTTACAGTGGTGTTCCCACCCACCAACTCCAAACCACAGCAGTGATTCGTTTGTCCAACAAACATCCGATGATCAGTGAGCAGGGGCTAAATTTCCCTGTAATCTCAGGTGACTTTCACAATGGGATGTGGTGGGAATTCCCTGGACGACTCTCCCTTGTGGTTGTACACCCTAACTCCCTGCCTGTGACCTAAAAAGCCGAACCTCTTCCCTCAAATGACCAGATAGAAGCAGGGAGGTGGTTAGGAGGGATACCAACCAATCAGTGAACCGACTGATCAGCCAACCAAGCCCAGGCTAGTCTGGCATCTGGCTTCAAATGCCATTTCACATATAAAATGAATGAAAAGTGGCAGCCATAATTGAAGAACCATCTGAAGCTCCTCCTCTGAGACAAGATCTACTTCACCACATATTCCTGGATATGGGAATGAACTAGATACGAAAAGAAACAGAATCTTACTAAGTGCAAGCACTGACACTAGCATCCAAAAGATGTTGCTCTGCTTGTGGCCTCAGACATGCTGAGCACTTTTATCCCAGAGGACCCCAGACTGCCTTATTACTGTTAGCTGGGCATAGCAGTACACACTTGTAATTCCAGAACTCTGGAGGCTGAGGCAGGAGGATCATAAGTTCAAGCCCAACCTGGGCAATTTAGCAGTCTAGTGAGACTCTGTCTCAAGAGAAAGAAAGAAAGGAAGAAAGGAAGAAAGAAGAAAGAAAGAAAGAAAGAAAGAAAGAAAGAAAGAAAGAAAGAAAGAAAGGAAGGAAGGAAGGAAGAAAGAAAGAAAGAAAAGGAAAACTGAGCATAGAGTATGTAGCTCAATGTAAAGGCCCTGGGTTCAATCTCCAGTAAAGCCAAAATGAAAAGATAAAACAAAAAATGAATAAATAAAGCCACACCTAAAGCCCAAATCAGAGCCCTCTTCTTACCATATTTGATAAGGAACCTTGAGGAGCATTCACTCTCTTCCTCCATGAATTCACACAGGAATCCTCCCTGTTCTTCACTTCCAACTGCAGCTAAGATATGACAGGTGGCACTTTGCTACCCTCTCGTCTCCTCTACTGCAAAAGGAGCTGGCCATGGGCACTCTGAAGAGAGGGGAAGGCTTCGTGTACGTGGAAAAAGGTTCAATCAACTCCTATTTCCTCTGGGAAATGAGCAAAGAGCTCATTTTTCTTTTTTAACATCAAAGCCCTTCAGAAGATTTTGGGGCGTAATTTCAGGGGCTAGTTTATCCCTTCACACTTGGTTCTTTGCTAAGGAGTTGGTGAATGCAACCCAGAAGTAACTGTTTTAAGCCTGTATGAGGACAGTGAGGAGCAGTGCAGTGAGGTCCGTGCGCTGCACTGTCCTATGCTGGTCTAGATGGATGCGTGCCATTCAGGCTGTTGTGCAGGAGAAGAAAGGAAAGGCGGGATGAGGGTTAGTAGAGGCAATCATGGGGTCTCATTTTCATTTCTTTACCTAAAGCAATAGGCCGCGTCCAAAGCGCGCTTCTTCCGCCGGTTGGAAGGTGCCGACTCAAGTCTGTAGGAGGGCAATAACATTAGCAGGAGATGTGGGGTCTTCCCACTGTTTGTTTTCCTAGTGGACTTTACAGTTTTCTGATCACCACTGGTATATGTGGAGGTGCCATCAATACCTTGAAAAAATGCATTTGAGTAACAAACATTTAGCTTTTCCTTCATCACACATCAGCAGCTACATCTATATTTTTTCCTTTGCAAATTGTCACAAATGGCAGTGATGACCACCACGGCCTGGCTATTGTCATTCCCCCAAGGAAACAGAGAGGACAGGATGACCACGGGTGACCACACTTCTCAATGGTGCTCTTGTCAGAAGGCTGTTCCTTGTCAAAGGGAGGCTGTAGCTTAAAGCAGACCTACCTAAGACGTCTCTGACCTATGGCCCAAGGGCAGTCTAGGCCGCTGACCTGAGTCACTGCTCAGTGTGGGCTGTGTTCAGACCTTTGACAGCAGAGCACTCAGCTACAGAACCTGCTTTGTCACCCTCTGGTTTACTCCCTTCCCGGGACAGCTATCCACAGAAGACTTTGCTAAGGAACATAAACTGACACTCAGCTAAATGGCAGTGAATTAGGTTCAAGTGAAATAGAAGTCACCCTTACCTAATGCTATTTTGGGAAGCTGTGAAGAAAGGGCTTTTTCATTTTCATTTATTTTATGGCATCCTCAACGCTCTCCTGATTCCATCTGAGATTTAGAAACCTGAGCTCCCCAAAGCATGCTCAGGAGACTGCCTGTTTAAGCATTTAATCTCCACACTCAAGAGAACCAGGGCTGGGTTAGAGACTGAAGTGAATCTCTGGACCTCTGGGAGTATTTTTCCACAAGCATGGGCCATGGTGGCCTTGTGAAAGTGGACAGAGGTTCTGGATGATGTTAGAAAGGAAGAGAAATCAGTGCCTTGACCTGGCAGTACAGGCTGGGACTGCCCCAGCCTGTGGGCACGCTCTTCCCACCTCTGCTCACCTGGTGACTCACTGTCCAGTACAAAGAGTGACTCAGTTCGTCACAGCTCCTCATTCTCCCTGACTTGTAGTTTAGTCACTTAGAGTGAGCACGGGGAAAAATCTTTTTATGTTTTATAAGCTACTATAAAGTTCTGGTAAGGAAGACCCTGCAAAAGCTGGGTACAAGTTAGAAAAGGTACACGGTGCCAATATATAGAAGGCTGAGTTACAGAAACTACAACATAAGAAGACTCCTTTCTTTGGTGAAATCAAGTTGTCTGCTCTGAACAATCGGCTTAGGGAATTATCAATAGGCTTCAATGAATGCATGCTTTCTACTCTTAGAATATGAAAATACACGGAAACTTGCTTCACTTAAATGAAGAATAAAGGGCTTAGCTGACTATTTTAATTGTCTGAAGGGTTAATGAATCAGTAAGTTACACTGACCACTCCATCCCCGGGCAATGAGCCTTGGAAACTCAGAACCAATCTCTTTTCCCTTTTTTCCAATCTTTTCTGCACCTTCTAGCTTCCTCCAACTATATCATTGCCCTCATTGTAAAACTCCCCATCTCACCAATTTATCACATGCAAATCGACTCCATCCCCCACGAAATCACAATGGAAGTCCTCCCCCATCTCAGATGACCGATTTTCACTTACCTGCAAATCTTGCTTCTAGCTCTTCACTTTTATTGGGTATGATGTAATTATTCGATGGCACAAAGGTGCAGCAGGGACAGTGTAAACTTATTTTAAATCCAAGATTCCTGTCTGGAAAACATTAAGTCAAGGAGGTCATTTGCGTGTGTGTCAATGCCCTTAAATCTGCAGTCAATTTACAATAACTGAGGGCCGCTGAACACTAGGGAGAAGACGAGAGGGCATCCCCGACCTTTATGGTGAAGCCACTCGTGGACAGCATCTGTCACATCGAAGGACAGCCATTCGCCTTCTGCTCTTGTTTTCACAACTTTGCTGTCGATGTAGCGCTGGTTTGGAGATGTTAAATCTTTGGATTTGAGGATCTAAAGGGAAAGAGCAAGAGAAAAAGCTCCATTGGCATACTGACAATGATAACCCATGCCACTGACATGATCCCAGTGTATTATCTAAATTTATCTCTGCTCTGGTCTCTCCATGCACTGCCACCTCAACAGCAGGGCCACACGTGCAAAACGTAGCACCAGGCCATCTGCCATGAAAAATAGAGCTACTAAATCAGCTGTCTGTTATGATAAAGGTGACACAAACCATAAAGCCAAGTGTCTAAAAGAAACTGACTGTAATGATTTTACTTTGCTGACATAAGCTTTGCAGGGCTTCATCCATAAAGCCTATGCTATTAAGTTCATGGTTTCGTTGTTCTGCCTCTTTTCTTTGGGTACTGAGGGATAGGGAGGGACAGGAAGAGGGGTTCAGTTCAGAGGACTCAGGATCACCCTCCAAAGTCTCTGAACTGCAAATCTTCTTCTAGTAACAAGAAAAAGGTCTAATCTTTGATCCCTAAGTCCATTGGCATTAAAATGTGTGTCCTGCCTCAGCTGTGGAGGTAAGACTCTCACTGGGATTTTGACTCTCCATGTGACTTGCTCTGATTTATGAAGATATTCCACATCCTGCAGTCGAAGAATGAACTTGGGCAGGAGCAATCTGGCTTAGTGTGCGGAAGACAATCTGAAAGCAAATCAGCCTGGACCCTGGGACTCCAGGAAAATACCTTTGTTTCAAATAAGTACAGAGCAACTGTGGCATTCTTGGGTTTCTACAGGAAATAAACACTTGAGGCAGTTTCTAACAATACTATCTTGAAATCATAGTGTTTCATGAACTAACCCACCACCCCGTGTCTCCTAGAGCTAGAACAAATCCAAGCCCTGCTCTGTAGCCTGGCTCTGCTCATCCTAAGGTGCTCAAACATCATTCAGTCTAAGTCTGCTGTGGTCATTTCATGCCATGGGTTTGGTCTCTACACCCATAAGTGTCTTGAGGTCAGAGGTCATGTCTTCAGTGTGACATCATTCCAAGCACAGCACTCAATGGAAGCCATGTCTATTAAAGGACTGTCAGAATACCAAGAACATTTATTAACTCTCCAAATCTCATAGAGCAAAAATGTGAAATCTTCCCTCCGATTTTGAAATCTACTTTCCTTCTGTGTGTATACACAATTTGCTTCAGGTAATTTGGCAACAAACGCTTCCTGGAATATTTGGCCTTACAGTAGACTTTTATTTTTCTGGAATAGGAAAGCATAGAAAAGGAAAGAGATTCATACACTTAGATTCTTGAGTGCCCTCCTAAATTTAAGACAAATCCTACACCATAGACCTCCCCCGGTGGTCCAATGAAACCCACTAAATGGAAAGAATCTAGAGGCGCTGGTAATGTGATCCTGGAACAGCCAAGAGATTCTTTTTGTGAACTACGGGAAACCAGGAAACATGACTCAAGAGCCGGACACAATGGCCTCTGGGCTTGCCACGTATTATTTCACTCCATTTTGTCTTCACGATGCTCCTGTAAGGTAGATGAAGGGAACTGGAACTCAGAGAGGTGAAGTCACTTGCCAGAACCTCACTGCAAGCAAGTGTGGGGGAGGATGCAAGGCAGCCCGACCAGTTTCCCACCGCAGTGCTGGACTTGCAGGCCAAAAGCAGTTATGGGAGCCAGAGTTGGATCATGATTCACCTTCACCCCTTTCCAGATGGCAGAAAACATTCCGTAGGGACAGCAAAGACCTTTAAATAAGATTAGAATCAATGAGGGTACAGGATGAAAGTATAACATGGTGGAATATAAACGCAGTTAATGCTGACATGTAGATGCAACTTTCAAAGTACGGCTTAACGGTGGGAAATCCTCCGAGAATAACAGTTTGCTACGAAAATAACTCCCAGTTAGGCAAATGTGACATCATTTATCCAATGGAGAATAAATGGCATAATTAACCTAATATGAGATAAGGATGATAAAAACAATGGTTGAGAAGACGTTTTCAGACATTCCCATCTGCCTCACTGGCTAAAACTTACTAACACACACAGAACTCACTTTTCTGTCTTTAAAGTTTTCTTTTAGTTGATTTTCTACAGGACGAATTGTCGTGCAATCCTTTACATATTTGCTGAGCTCCTAAGTAACACACTGTATGTATTATTTATTGTTATATAACTAATACGTAGACACACTACCTAGAACAAAACATTACTTTCACTGTTGAATTAATTATATATATTAGTATATCATGATATAATCTATAACACAGTTTATAACATGCAAATTATATACGAAATTACATTTATATCATATATTAACTTCCTATGACTGTATGACTCATGCACACATATCTATATTTATATGATATTCAGCCTCACTGAATACACAAAATTTTAAAAAATAGATAAATTATTACCACCTTGAGCAAGTGAACAGACAAAACCGCAGATTAGCAAATTTATGGAAATTCTTTATGTCATAGAGAAGAAATAAATGTGGATTATCTTGCTTTAGAAAGAAAAGAAAGGTACAGAAGAGACTCTGGAGCTTTCTTGCTTTAAATCTCACTAGAAGTCTGAGGGGTAAGGGCTGCCCTAACCGTACAGCCCACAGAGCTACAAGCATGGGCAGCCTCATGTGCTTCCGTGGCTAAAGGGTCCTCTCAGCATCCTTCTTTTCTTGTCTTTTCTTTTCCTCTTCCTACTCCTCTCTTTCTTCTCCTTCTTCTCCTCCTTCTTCTCCTTCTCCTTCTTCTTCTCCTTCCTCTTCTTCTCCTTCTTCTCCTTCTTCTTTTTACTAGTTCATGATTCAAGAACATGTAAATCACTCAATAAACACGGCAAACTGTATAATTCTGAAACAGAGAAGTGACTTGGTCTTTCCAGTCCGCTGTCTTGAACTTTATGGACAAGGAGTTTTTCAACCTGCTTGTTGCTTCTGAACTGCATTCTTCTTCTCCAGTCCTTAGCAGAGCAGGAGAAAGCCACTTCCTCACTGGGAGACTGTCCCTCATGTTCTTGGAGACAATTATTAAGCCCCACTCGGTGTGCTCAACTTCTCCCTCTAAAATAAACTCAGCTCCTGTAGACCATAGTTAGAGGGGGAATTTCCAAACCTTTCATTATCCAGGCGGCTAACGAGGATGGAAGACGCTACGTGGAGGCATTCTTCCTACAGCTTCACGTCCTCACCTCAGAGCTGTCCAGCAAATCTTCCAATCACATTTCAGCACAGCTTCTTAACTTGAGAGCTATCTGCTTCCTCATAACGGTCACAGCTGCCTCTGCCCTGCTTATGTGCCACTGATCACTACACCGAGCTACACCAAGAGTGAAGAAGGCATGGGAAGAAACTTCTACCATTGCTCATTTGTCTTCTCTTTAAGTTCAGAATTTATACAGAAAGTGACCACATCCATCACCTTCTGCTTCTGATTTACGCTGTGCAGTCTGCCCTTCTTCAGTCTCCACGGCAAAGACAGGAATGTGAACATTCCTGACTATGCGGCGGCCTTTTGCTAGATCCTCAGCTGCTTGTTTCTACATTTCTTTGCACATAGTTATCATGACTGAGATAAGCATGTTGAGCTGTAGGAGCTTTCCTCACTGGCTTATATACTTCACCGCAGGTCCCATTAACCACTCTTCTCCACTTGGTGTTCCTGTTCTGTTCTAGGAATGCACTGGGACCCACAGTGCCCTGGGGCTCGTTGCTGAGAAGATGCTGTCCAAGCACTTCCAGTCCTCCCAGTGGATCTGTGCACTTAGCATCTGCCATATGTTTACGAACCTGCTCATGACACTGGGACTTCTTCCTGCTACTGTGGGAGTTAATCAAATGATTCAAACTGGTTATACAATACAGGACCAATAGAAAAGAGCTGCGGCTACTGCAAAAAATTTTTTTTGAATGCCTTGAAAGTCAAAATTTATAGAAAAAAGTTTCCTGGAAAAGAGTTTGGCCATTCCTCACAACAGTAAACTTGGAGCAATTCCACTCCTGGGCAAAACCCTGTAGAGTGACAGCAGACAAACAAGTATGTATGTTCCCACCAATACTCTCCACCGTATTCTGCACAACAGCCCAAAGGTGGCGGGGGGTTGGCAAGTGCAGGTGAGCACACACACTAGCGATAGTTTATGGACAGTGAAATATTAGCCATAAAAGGGAAGGGGTACAGTCGTACGCCTCAGCATGGATGAAATGCGAGGATATTGTGCTGAGTCGCATAAGCCAGACACAAACGGTTTCACTCACATGAGAACCCAGAGTGAGCAAAACTCACAGAGACAAAGGGCAGAAGAGGTTACCAGGGGCTGGGAGGAGAGGGTAGCAGGCCATTATGGTGTAGTGGGTACGGAACTGCTGGTTGGGATGAAAAGAATTCTGGAAAAGGATCGTGATCATGGCCACACAGTACTGTGAACATGCTTAATGTCACTGAATTTTTTTTTTGCCAGTACTGGGAATCGAACTCACGACCTCACACTTTCCAGGCAGGTGCTGTGCAACTGAGATAAATCCCCAGCCCATGTCACTGAATTTTGTAAAGAATGATTAAAAGGTAATTTTGCTGATATAGATAGATAGATAGATAGATAGATAGATAGATATAGGTATAGATGTAGATATAGATATATAATTTCCACAATAATTTTTCCTAGTTTTAGGTGTGAGAGAGATAGCCATAAAACAGGTAACGGAATGAGATAATACGAGTGCAATTCTGCACTCTGATTGCTCAGCATGGTCCTTCAGCTTCTTTTTCTACCTCACAGAAAGTAAAAAGTGGAAATCGTAGATGATGCCCTATGCATGTGGTTCACGTAAAAAATAAATGCAGCATAGATTGGCAACTGGCTGGGTATGTCAAAAAAATTTCTTTGCCTTTCAAAAATACTCAGTATGAGTGTGTGTATTTGTGTGTGTCTACATGTATACATATATTTACATATATTTGCTTTAAGTTTAAAAATTTAAGAGCACATCTGTCTCTTTCTCTTACGTCTTTCTAATCCTCTCCTTTAAC